CCTTTTCCCGGTGCCCTGGTTTCCCACCCCCCCCGGTTTCCCGGTGCCCCAGTTCCCCCGTTTCCCAGTGCCCCAGCTCTCCGCTGCCCACCCTTTCCCAGTTCCCCAGTGCTCCCCAGTTTCCCGGTCCCACAGCTCCCCGGTGCTCCCGGTTCCCCCGATGATGCCGTTGCCCAGTGCTCCCAGTTCCCCCACGCCACGGCTGCCCGGTTCCCCGGTGCTGCAGCTCCCAGTGCTCCCAGTTCCCCAGTGCCACCGCTCCCCGGTGCCCCCAGTTTTCCCGTTCCCCAGTTCTCCGGTGCTCCTGGTTCCCCGGTACCCACAGTCTCCCGGTTTCCCGGTGCTGCCCCTGCCCGGTGCCCACGGTTTTCCCACTCCCCAGTGCCACGGCTTCCCAGTTCCCTGGCGCTGCTGGTGCCCACGGTTTCCCAGTTCCCCACTGCTGTGCCTGCCCGGTGCTCCCGCTTTCCCGGTGCCCCCGGTTTTCCCGTTCCCTGATGCTCCCGGTTTCCCAGCGCCCCCGGTTTTCCCGTTCCCTGATGCTCCTGGTTCCCCGGTGCTCCCAGTTCCCCGGTGCCCACGGTTTTCCCGTTCCCTGATGCTCCCGGTTCCCTGGTACCTCCGGTTTTCCCCGATCGCGGGCTTCCCAGTTCCCCGGTGCTCCCGGTTCCCCAGCTTTCCCAGTTCCCCGGTGCTCCCGGTTCCCCAGCTTTCCCAGTTCCCCGGTGCCGCGGCTCCCCGGTGCCCACGGTTTTCCCGTTCCCCGGTGCCCACGGGTCCCCGGAGCCGCGGCTGCCCGGTGCTCCCGGTTCCCCAGGTTCCCTGGTGCCCACGGTTCCCCGGTACCGCGGCTGCCCGGTGCTCCCGGTTCCCCAGGTTTCCCGGTGCTGTGACTGCCCGGTGCTCCCGGTTCCCCGGTGCCGCGGCTGCCCGGTGCCCACGGTTCCCCGGTGCGGCGGCTGCCCGACGCTCCCGGCTCCCCAGGTTTCCCAGTTTCCCGGAGCCGCAGCTCTCGGTTTCCCGCTGCTCCCGGTTCTCCGGTGCCCACGGTTTCCCGCCGCTCCCGGTTCCCCGGTGC